CAAAAAGGAAAGCCACTCAGGATATGTTGGAATGTATCAGAAGCACCCCAACCCTGATTTTCAGTGGCACCCTTATGTATTTAAAATAAAAATACACAAATAAGTATAAAAAAAAAATATATATATATATATATATATATATATATATATATATATATATATATATATATATATATACATATATTATATATTCCTTATGAGCAGAGGGCAGTTATGTTGTGTTAAACCAAATATAATAACAAAAATTTATTTGTTGAAATATTGTCATAATTCTTATAAAATATTCTTAATACTGTAAGAGGTTGCATTGAAATTCACTCAGAAACGTAATTAAGTTTAAGTTACAAGCAAATACACAAACCAGCTGCAGTACACCACTTCACTACATAATTTCAATAAATAATAATTACATACTCAAACATACACACATATACATATATACATACCCATATACATATATATATATATATATATATATATATATACATATACATATATACACACATACAAATACACATATGTATGTACATATATATACATAAACAAGCACACATAGATACACATATATACGCTCATATATTCTCATATATTAAGAAAAATATGACTGTTTCATAGAGATTCCGAAATGGTATAACTCACTGTATTTCCAGCATTTAATACAAAATAAATTCCTATTACAATGAGTCAAAGGCCTAGTTTAATGTTTAATACAGTGAGTTATACCATTTCGGAATCTCAATAAAACAGGCATGTTTTTCATAATTTGGCACTCGGGCCACTTTTTTTTTATAGAACAAGGGTGACAAACGAGCACACAGTCCACCTGATGGTAAGTGGTTGCTGTGGGCTATAGACATCTACATCTATCTTCGTTTGCGAATCAAAATGCAAATGCGTTGTCACCCGTGAGGACTAAGATGGAATGCCACTTTTCCAGTAAAAAGGATCTCCGGTTCTCTACACTCACCATACGAAACACAGCACCATTAAGCCGCCATTTTACGCTGGTATTCTGTGAGAGCGTGGTCCTTCCCCGGTCGAGCCGACCCATTCGTGCTACAACTATACTATTAATATAGTTGCAGCATGGCTCTACCACGTAAAGAAATCATAGTTTACATTCGATAGTGCTTCTATTCAGGAATACTATTCAAAAAATAGATTGAAACAAATCCTTCATTTGGAGTCTTGCCACTTTGAACTTTCGAAAATGTCGAATTATCTCGAAAACCGAGGGACTTTTACAAAACATAAAACATATTTTTCTGAACCACCACAACGTCGTCTACCCGCAGGTACCAAAATATCCATTCATTACGCCACCACCTGTATATTTACCTTGGACAAATAGTACGACTAGGTATGTAAGTCCAACTTCGACGAGAGGTCAACCGACGGATTCAACCATAGATAAATAAATATGTAGCTCGGCTGGGCAGCGTTCGAGAAATTACGACACATCTTCTCGTCAAACATACCTCAAAACAAGATTATTCAAACAGTGCGTGTTGCCATGGATCTGAGACGTGGAAAGGGCTTTGCTTGGGGTTTCTCTGCGTGATAGAGTTAAAAACGAGGATATCCGCAGCAGAACCAGAGTAACCGATACAGCCCAAGGGATTAGTAAGCTGAAATGGCAATGAGCCATATAGCTCGAAGAATCGAGAACCGATGGGGAAGAAAGGTTCTCGAGTGGCTGCCTCGTACCGGCAGGCCAAGTGTAGGACGTCCCCCCACTAGATGTAGTGACGACCTGATAAGACATGCAGGAAGTAAATGGATGCAGTTGGTTCAGGACCGTGCTTTGTGGCATTCCTTGGGGGAGGCCTATGTTCAGCAGTGGTCTTGTGAAGGGCTGTAATGATGATGATGATGAATTTAGATAAGTTACATAATATAAGTAATTTTATTTACATAAAAAAAATTCAAGTTATTTCATATTACACAACAACATTATAAGTATAATGTTACAAGCTTAAAATTTGTGTTGTACACACACACAGACTGCGCATAGTACACGCAGTGTAATATTGTACCAAAGAGTATTAAATTATAAATCTTGTTTGCTATTGTACCAAATAAAAGACGCAAGATTTGTTTCTGGTAATATACTAATATTGAAAAATTTGCAGTGTTGCTATATTTGAAATAATTACATATATTGTTGGTAAGTACCATAATTCCATTTATTTGAGACAACAAACCGACTAACAGTTAAGTTTGTAAACATACTTTATACGTTTTTACTTTTTGGGACACAATTAAATTTTTTGGAGTATAATCAACTCCGTGAAATCTACGACTTACTAGGCGTCATTAGTTACCACCAGGTGGGATTATCGGTGTGTCACTGGCTTATAATAAGTCTTTACATACGGTAAGTAGACATACAGTTCGGAAAAGAAAGGGAAGATGCATGGTCAGTGTATATTCACACGAACCATTTCAAGCCACTTTCGAACCCCATAACTCGAAAAGTATTAAAACATACTTTTATTTTACATACCTAGTAAGGAACCCTTAAATACCTACCTAGAAACTCAAATTACATGAATTAACTTATTTTAGTTCTTGAGTTATCAAGGTCTAAAAAGTGCCATTTTTATCACGCGCTTATTTTACTTAGGTTACTTAGAAACTTAATATTTGGCATCAAAGTAGATTATTTTTTATTGGTGGCATTATCTATCCCACTACTCGCTCACTGTTATGTTTTGGTACCAGAATAAATGCCATTGCCTGTTTGTATTCCAGGCATACTTAAATGATGATGATATTGAGAATGAACTGGAGCGAATGTTTGGGCTTCCTGATAATCTAGACGAATTGGAAGATGAGTATTGGTTTTGTGTAAGTTATCAACATTCGCAAAGGCTAAAAAAAGAGTAAAGTAAAGCTTGAAAGAGGAAATTACAAATGGAGAGTGAAGAAAGGTGTTGAACTCATGATTTGGGAAGATACAAAAAATATTTCATTGTTGAGTACAGCTTTTCATCCCAAAGAAAAGACTGTTTGTCAGAGCACGATGAAGGATGGCACAAAGAAGAATTCCCAATGCCCTTTGGCAATTACTGAGTATACAAAGAGAAGTGGAGGTGTCGATTATTTCGATCAAAAAAGAAGCACGTATGAGTTTGGACGTAGGAATAGTTGTTGGTGGTGCAGGATTTTTTATTTCCCAATTGACTTGGCTATTACAGATGCTTTCATATTGCACTATGTTTCACCGAGAAATAATGGACACTTGTGGAATCTACAATTTTACATCACAATTGCTAGATCGCTCTTAGGAAACTACACGTCCAGAAAGAGGAGCCTATCTAACGAACGCAATTTCATTACAAAAAAGAAGCAAGCTGCTGTCAGTACCAGCTATCAGAAAGTTGTAGGAGTGCAAGACGATATACGTTACCAAGATGTTAGAAAACACTTAACAAATAAGTCTGGCATACTCCGCAGATGCCGTTTATATAGTACAAAGACAAATAACGTAAGAAGTAAGTTTTCATGTACGACATGTAAAGCCAAATCATGTAAAACAGCCAAAAAACTGATGGATCTCAAATAGTATCTAGTCGATTGATGTTACTATACCATAATAACTATGAAGATATTTTTCTAAAAATAAATATTTTTGTATTGTCAAGTACTTACGCTTTTGTTTATAATTAAAAATAAATATAAAACATACAATAAAAATGTAATTTACTTTAATTTACAGAGATGTCACTTTTTTAGTATGGGCAGAGGCATATATACCAAATTTTCCACATATTTAACAACGTTTTCCGAGTTGAAAAAATCTCAAAATCATAAAAAATGTTCTCATCAACATACTGAAATTTCGTTTTCTTACCACTTCTGGTTTTCTCGGCCTTAGAAACGATATTTTTTTTAATTAATGATAACCATCCAAAAATAAAAATGCGTAAGAGGGTGTCTAATATAAAATGGTTGAGAGTTAAACGGGCATTAAGCTCCATAGCGGTTGTTTAAATTATAAAATATATTACTACTACCTCACCAGGCAGATGTTATTATGCCCTTTCCAACGACCCTTCCTATAAAAATCCTTAAATTCGCAATAAAAAATTTTGAGGGTCATTTAGCGGGATAAAAACTGTCCAAAAATCTCTCCAGTTGGACCAAAATGCACACAGTGTGCAAAATTTCATTGAAATCAGTCCATTAGTTCAGAAGTCCATCGCGGACAAGCAACGTGACACGTAATTTTTATATTATTACTATATTATTGCAATTTTATTATAAATGATTAAAAACCAGTTACTATATAGGCTGATTTTGCAATAACAGACCGAATTTGTAGAGAAGCTTCAGTATAAGTAATAATGGCAAATGGTGACGAAAAATTAATTAAAAATAATCTCATTCATTCTGTCTTTTTTATCTTTTAAATTTACAATGCGTGGTAATGCATTATTTTAACTGATTTTACTGCGCACACACACATTCGTAAGGGTCCATTGGTAGGCAAAATTGTTTTATCCATCACATTCAATTTGGGATAGTTTAAAATATAAGTAGAAGCTTTATTAACTCTTATTTTCAATAACTGCAATAACGGTATATAATTATTCATATCTTTGAACTTTGATCTAACTACTCTTTGGAAAATAACCCTGTATAAGTGATTATGGATTTATATAAAATCTAAACTATTACAGTACTAGTTAATTTATAGTATTGAATTTATCTGATAATATCTTATAAAGTTATTTAATAAGCAATCTTGCTATAATAAATTATAGTTTAAAAAACTAAAAAACACCCTTAAAATAAAATTGTTTTATTTTATACCAGTTATCCTGATCGGGTTACATGATAATGTTATTAAATAATTGTATTGTCAATAAATATTGTAGTGTGTAAAAAATATGTTTAATTAAAAAAATCAGTAAAGATTGAATTGCTTAATGGCAATATATAAGTTCAGAAATAACGTGACTTTCTAAGTGGCAACATTTTTAGTGATGGCCGTCAGTCGCTTAGAGTGGATGTGAGTGAGCGTTACCGAAAGTTAGTGTTACAAATTACCAAGTTACATTCGATACAGTAATCTGGTTTTATGTGAATTGAATTAATTTCTAAAACATTTTGTGCGTATTTGTGTAGCTTTTTGTAACTAAATTATTTGTGCTGTTGAATGAAAGAATGTTTGTTGTGTTCTTAGAAGTAATAGGATAAAAGTGATCATTTTTATTGGATTACGGATTGCTGTTCATATAATTATAAAGTGTACTACAGGTGAGTAAAAACAGAATGCGTTTACGTTCAGTATTTAGAAGTAATTCTATGTTAGAGCTTTTGCCACGAATGCTTGCGAGACATGAATTGTCGCTTATGCTCAAGATAACGGAAGATTAGGTCAGATTGCGTTGATTGTGATAAGATATTGCTTTAAAAAGATTCTGCGAAACTTCAAATATTTCTTCGAGTTTTGAAAAAAAAAACTCAAATTATATTAAAGAACATCATATTTCATAGAAGGCGCAAATTCGCTATATTCATGCTCTGTTTCCGTTTGAATGCTAATTTATTTGGATTTATCTTGAAGTGAACAGTCTTACAGTATACATATTCGTTATTTGGTCATGTAATCTATCCTGCCCTTTGATTTTGACAGTTCTTATTTATTGCAAAAACATTACTTATCTCATAAACACCACTAAAATAAAAATGTTTGTAAAAAAATTTCATCGGATTTATAAAAACTTTTTTGCAGTTAAATTTATGGTCCTAACCTTTCACTGCTACAAAATATTTTTACCAGTCAGTGCAATCATAATACGTGTATAACTTTCATGAATATCTTAAGTTGTGTGATGCTTCATTCAATGCCAAAAATATATCATTAAGTTTTGTAATTTAATAACCAACAAAAGGTTTTTGAGTGGCAGTCTCGTACTGGTAGGTGAAGTGCAGGGTGACCCCCCACTAAATGGAGTGAAGACCTTGTAAGACATGTAGGAAGTCGATGGATGCAGGTGGCTCAGGACCGTGCTTTGTGGCATTCCTAGGGGCAGGCCTATGTTCAGCAGTGGACTTGTGAGGGTCTGTAATGATGATTAAGATGATTGCAATTTAACAAAAATATATATATATATATATATATATATATAAACAGTAAACAAATTACTGTTTTCATTTAAGTGTACTCAATGTAAGTTTTATTAAGTATCTTGTATCAAATAATTTTGCTAACTAAAATTACAATTTAAAAAAAGACTAAGTTTCAGAAAGTCAAACAAGTAAAGTAGTAATGTAGTAATTATATGCTCTGTCACTATTAACAAAAACAATAGTACAATCATCAAACAACAATGCTGCTAAATTAGCATACAATGCCTCAGTAGACACAACAAAAACAGGCTATAACTAAAAGAATCCTTGTGCTGTATAAATTTATATTATGATTGTAAACATGAGGATTACCTCATTGAAGTAATCCTTAAGTGTACTATGAAGTCACTGGTATTCTCATTTAGTTCAAGAGTATAGAGTTATTTCTAAATTGTTAACATTGGTATTCTAAGGCATGTTGTAAAATGTGCTCATGTCATTACATAAGTATCTTGCTAAGTATGGTGTAGGTCTCTTCATTCTTTGTGTTCATAAATAATTAATCTATTTAACTATTTTATTTACTACACTATATGGAATGATGACTGAGTAAGATATGCAGGAAGTTAATGGGTGCAAGTAGCTCAGTACCGTGTTTTGTTCATTTCTGTGGAGAAGGTCTATGTTCGGCTGTGTACTTATGAAGAGCTGTAATGATGATAATGAACCTATTTAATAAAGTTTCTGTGTTCATAAATCCATTTATTATACATCACACACATTTTTAAGGTATCAACCATACAGTCAATAATTCTGTATTAAAAAGGCCTGACTATCGAGTCTTAGTCTCGTAGTTTAAATACAGCTGAAGCCATAAATTAAATAACAAAATTGAAAACCCCCAAAGTAAAAGGAGCTGGTGATCTTCAAACGGCTGAACAGATTTTCTTGAAACATAGCTAAGAACACTCTTGATTAAGACAGATCATCACCATCATCATTATTACAGCCCTTCACAAGTCCACTGCTGAACATGATTAAGACACCTTTCAAACAAAAAAAAACTTATCAAAATCAAATCATCTGTTCAGGAGCTGTGATGCCACAGCACCCCTCTGTTTTCGTCAGGGGTTAAAAACACGTCATATTAATTAATAAACTTTCCTAGTCTACAGTTGGACAGTGGTCTTTCCAAGAATGTGTCTCCATTACTACTTGGAAAATTTGTTCATACTCAACACACTGTTCAGACTGGTTGGTAAGTGCAGAGCTGATTTACCCTTGCACTGGCAATGTTGCTTCCCAACATCAATGTATAAAATTTGAGTACTTTTAAAACACTTTTTCGGCCATGTAGTGGTGGCTTATAACAATATTTTATATTATTATCCTGTGAGCGTCTGTCATAAAAAGTGACAAAGGGAAATGAAACAGGTTATGGGCAGTAGCATCTTCCTGATAATAACTAAAAGTAATAAAAAATCTCCCATCTCCAACTTATAGGGCAAGCCTAGGTTCAGCTGTGAACTTGAAACAAGCTTAATGGATGAAAAAAAAACTTAAAACTGTTTTATCTTTTATTTTATGTGGTAGAGCCATGCTGCAGCTATATTAGTAGTATAGTTGTAGCACGAATGGATCGGCTCGACCGGGGAAGGACCACGCCTCTCGCAGAATACTAGCATAAAATGGCAGTTGGACACTGCTGTTTCGTTGTTAAATGAATGCTTGTGTTTCAAGTTTGGTTTTCTTGTAATTTGCCGTTGTGTTTGTGACACTACATCTTATTTTTTTTGTAGGTATTAGTTTTTACATTATGGTGCATCTCCACCAGAACTTTGTTGCCAACACGCATTGCAAACAAATGTTTCTATAATCACCTAGTGTTGGCAACAAAACTTGAAACAATATTGGGAACCGTGTTTCCATTTTCGGCGGCAACATCAAAGGAATACGCTTGTTGCAAACATTTGTTCCCTCAGTGGAGACGCTTCTTAGAACATTTTGAAACATTTTCGGAAACAAATGTTGGCAACTTTTATTGATTTGTCAACAGTTGGAAACACAAATGTCAATATTTTTGGTGGAGACGGGGCTTTAGATGTTAAGAAAGCTGTTAGTTAAGTTAAAGCATATAATAAATAAATTGTTTTTTTTCCAATAGTATTTGGAAGTTGGTGCTGTTAAAACTGGAAAGAAGAATATCATCAACATTAGTAATATACTTAGAAAATTTGTGTTTAAATAAGCATACCAACATGTTGGTAGGCTTTAATATCTATAAAACTTATTTAATATATTTTTATTGTACAGCAATACACCTTAAAACAATAGCAAAATGAAATAAACTATATAAGTAGATGGTACAATATAAGTGATTTATTCCAGGCAATTTTTTGTGCAAAAAAACGGTTGTTTCCATCAAATGACGAATGGGATAATTGCACATTAATTAACCAAGGAAGTAAAAAAAAATGAGACGATGACAGTTGACAATAGGTACTCAGTCCATAGGTCCTATGATACAATAAAGGATGGAAGGATTACAATATTTGAATGATAGTTTAATTAGATATTTTTCATAAAGATTAACCTAGATGTAACATTTAAAAAACATACCTCGTGGAACTAGTTTTTAATGTCATTTGTAGTGTTGTCATCAAAAACCAGTTTTATTTATTGCCTACATTCCATCATTATGAATCAGTTAGCCCTATAAATGTTCATATAAATTTTTCATATGAATATTGAATAGTAAGTTTGTTGTTGTTTGTGGAAATATCTATATTTAGCATATTCCAATGGTCTGATGAAATAAATGTTTAAAATTGATATTTTTATATATTTTTTTTTAGGAATTATCATCACTTAAAAGGAACTGTGTCAAGTCTTTCACACCAAATTATTCAGTTATTCCCACACTCGTAAATGTATTGATTTATATTGTCTTTGGTTAATGTTCCGCAAGAATGTCCGAAAATAACAACTGTAGATTTTAGTAATGCAAGTTAGTCGTAGGTAGTTGCTTTAGTTGTAGTTTAAGTGGATTTTATCTACGTTGTTATCCCGCCTTCACCGCAAACGTTTAGTAAATATATTGTATAACCAGGATACCCTTAATGGAATTTGTCCGACCACAGGTATATAGCTGCGGTATTAACGGTATTCGGGGATTGCTTACACCGTTTAACCGTGGCAAGGTCGCGTGCCCTGTCACTTGTGTTTACATACGGACGTGCGCCCAAACGTACTAAAGCTGTCTTTATTTCATTGCATTAAAGTGCATTCATGTCTATCACTGATATTATGCCATGGCAATATTTTTATTTATAGGTATTTAATACGAATGCCCGTGTTACAGAAAAGTCATAAAACTAATGCAATTATATACGTGACTCGGCTTTGGCCTACTTTATATGGATATTTACAATATACGTTGGCAAATTATTTTCGATAAATAATGTTTATAAAGTTGACGTCTTTAAGTTATCATTAGAAACGCACTTTTTTTGTGAAGTCGTTAACTTTTCGGACGTTTCAGAAATTACGCCCGCACACTTATTTGTAATGTGAAACAACTTCGATGTTATAATAAAAAATTCACAACCTATATTAATTATAGCCATTTCTAATAAAGTTATGGTAGAGTAAGTATTTCGCCGTGAGCATTATTAGTGCATGTTGTTGGACTTAACATCCCCTCGATTTTTTTTTGTTACCGTAGCTTGTTAAAATTTTTATTACTAGAACGGTAAAAGTTAAAATTTAAAATTATCGCCTATACACGTCCCACTGCTGGGCACAGGTCTCCTCTCACTTCTGAGACGGTTTTAGAGCAAGGAAGTGTCCGCCGCGCTGCTCCAAATGCGTGTTGGCAAACTTCACACGTCTTAGAATTTTTTTTTATTTTTCAGACATGTCGGTTTCACGATGTTTTCCTTCACCGCCGAGCACGTGGTAAATCAGCACTTAAAATTTTATACGTGGTAGAGCCATGCTGTAGCTATATTAGTAGTATAGTTGTAGCACGAATGGGTCGGCTTGACCGGGGAAGGACCACGCTCTCACAGAATGCCAGCGTAAAATAGCAGCTTAATGCTGCTGTGTTTCGTATGGTGAATGTAGAGAACCGGAGACCTTTTTTACTAGAAAAGGTGCATTCCGTCTTAGTCCTCACGGCTGAC